AAACCTTAAATCTTAAACCAAAAATAACCCCTGAAGTTTTCTTTAAACCAAACAGTAAATTACCTTACTTAGTAAAGAATGTTTGCCTTGAACATCGTGTTCTTTTGAAGAACTGTCTATATGGAATCAAACTGACAACAGCAACTCAAAAGGTCAAATAGAAAGCGTAGGGAGCAGTGAGTTCATGATAATGGGGAAATAACAGTTCAGAAAAGGAGGGTGAGAATGGTTGTACAGCTTGAAGAATGTAATCAATGTCACTGAATTGTACACGTAGAAATTAATGAATTGGTGCGTGTTTTGCTGTGTATACTTTCAACGATAATAATATATTTTTTTTTTTAATCCTTCACTTCATCACATCTGCAAAGTCCCTTTTGCCATATAAGGTCACACATTCACAGGTTCCAGGGATTAGGATGTGGACGTCTTTAGGACCTTCATTCAGCGACCACAGAAGTCAATCGCGAGCTTCTTTCCCATCGAGTTGGGAGAGGGAGGAGCTATACTTTTCAATGAAGTTTAAGGCTTTAATTTTTTAAACCAGAGGAGGCTGCGTATATTAATTGCTAAGCAGGAGACCTTTTTCACTTAAAAGAGATCCGAGCAGAACGTCATAGGATTTGCCTTGAGTCACACCTAGAGCAGGGTAAGAACTGACCTGGTAAATGGCTGTAAGGGACAATGTAAGACAAAGTGAAGCCACTGGAGGGTGACATCGTGACATCAGGGTGAGTGCAAGGACCCTGCCCCAAGGAGCTCACTCGACAAACACCCACCTGGTAAGAGGTGCCTTTTCCATACAAGGAACTTTCCAGAATCCTGGGGAACTACCTTCTTGAGGAATCATCACAAAAACTCAACAAGCATCACGTTTCTGATATTTATTAGATCTTCAATGTCAGAAGCTACAAAGCCTGGTGATCCTTTGTGTGGTCCGGTGGCTGACCCTGGCTGTCAGCTTAGGGGACACTGGTGGTGAGTTTTTCGACCTCACTGGTTGGGGTCCCAATGGCCTCGCTGCAAAGGAAGCAAGTGGTCTAGGCAGGTTGGACCATATCTAGACTGCCAGCCAGGAGTTCAGAAAGCCTGGCTTCTTCTGACTCACAGACCTAGGAGGGGTCCCCTGGAGACATATGCTCAGCAGCACGTGGGTGTGCTACAGGTGATAGGTGTGCAGACAAGGGAGAGGCAGGAGGGCTGGCAGGAGGGGTCCACACACACGATAAGCTTGCATACACACACACACACACACACACACACACACACACAGTGGGCTTACACATGCATATGGTGGGCTTGCAGCTCATGGGCACACAGTAGACCTCCCAGCAGGGGCTAGGCACACAGCAGGCTGGGCACCAGGAGGAGACCTGGCCACAGGTCATAGGGCCACATGGGGACTGGCAGCCACAGGAGCAGCAGCTGGAGGCACTGCAGGCAGGCTGGGAGCCCAAAGAGCAACAGCTGTGGCACATGGTGGTGTGTGGCTGGGGTGCAGGGGGTGTGTATGTGTGAAGTAGTGGGTGGGGGCTGATCTAGAGGCTTCTTTCCCTGGGGGCCTTTACATCCAGGTCCCACAAGCACCCGGCAACATGGCCACACTGTGGTCTTCCCCGCTAACTTGCTTCTCCAACGTTCCCCCAAGCCCAACTTGCCCTCCTCTCCCATTTTCCCAGGGGGAGATCTAGGGTCTTAGGGCCTCGTAGGACCAGAGGACACCCCATCTCAGCTGAGGGCCAGGATCCCTTCCCCACCTGACACCCCCACTCACACACAGGGGCAGGAGGCACCTCACGCTCAGCTTGACTCAAGCACCAATCAAGTCCATCTACCCTAAACTTGTCCTCCCCGTGCTTTCTCTTCCACTCCCCCAACTGCCCAGACCCAAATCCAAGAGCCGTCCTGCCTCTTCTCCTCCTCACTCACCCCACAAGGTCTCTGCTAGCAAGTCTCACCACATCCATCCCTCAGTAGCCATTCAGATTCACGCATCCCACATCTCCTCCTTGGATTCTGACTCAGCCCCCTAACTCAGCTCCTGCCTCCATCTTGCCACCCCCTCACGTCTCCTTTTTGCACAGTAGCCAGAGGGGCTGGATGAAAACGTGGATCAGAGCAGATGGCTCCAGATTCAGGCCCCCAGCCCTCCTGGTCCTCAGTGTGGTCTTCAAAGTCAAACGATCTGACTCAGCCCACTCGCACTCTCCCCCGAGCACCCCAGACTACGGGACCCCCACTGCTCAACAGTTTACCAGATCCCATGCATGTCCTAGCACCCACAGCTGCCTCTGCCTGGGACACCTTCCCCCAATGGCCCTTCCATTGCCTCACCCAGGTGTTGGCTCAGCACCCCTCCTCAAACAGATCGCCTCCCACCTGAACCACCTGTCATTCTCTACCTGCTGAGCCTGTTTCCTTCACAGGACTCAGAGCCCTCCATAGGACTCCACATGTTTATTACATATTTCATTATTTGCACATGTCTTCCACGTCCACCCTGGAGGTCCAGGAGCAGGGACCTCGTTCATTCCCTGCTCTATCACCAGCACACTGGCCACACCTGGGGCATATTTGTTGCGTGAATAAGTAAATTCTTCTGTGGATTACTATACTGCAGGGGTCAGCAAAATTTCTGCAATGGGCAGACAGTAAATATTGTAGATTTTGCTAGTCACATAGTCTCTGTTGCAGCTACTCAACTCTTTCTTGTGGCACAAAAGCAGCCATAGATAACATATAAACTAATGGGTGTTGTTGCATTTCAATAAAGCTTTATTTACCCTGTGGAAAACAGTGGCGGTTCCTCAAAGAGCTAAACATAGAATCACAAAATGATCCAGCAACTCCACTCCTAGATATATACCCAAAAGACTTGAAAGCAGGAATGCAAACAGATACTTGTACATCCATGTTCATTGCAGCGCTATTCACGATAGCCAAAAGGTGGATAAACACAACGTGGTCTATCCATACAATGGAATATAACTCAGCCATAGAGAGAAATGAAGTTCTGATACACACCACAACGTGGATGAACCTCGAAAACATTATGTTGAGTGAAATAAGCCAGACAGAAAAGGACAAATATCAAATGATCCCACTTATATGAAATAGCTAGAATAGCAAATGCAGAGAGACAGAAAGTAGGTTAGTGGTTGCCAGAGAATGAGGGGAGGAGGCGGGTGGAGAGTGACTACTTAATAACACAGGGTTTCTGTTTGGGGAGATGAAAAAGCTGTAGACAAGAACAGTGGTGGTGATTGCACATTGGGGTATGATTGGTGTCACTGGCTTATACACTGGAAAACAGTTAAAATGGCAAATTTTATGTTGTGAATATTTTACCACAATTTAAAAAAAATCAACTTTATTTATAGAAATAGGCAGTAGGTAGATTTGGTCCTCAGGCGAGTTTGCTAACTTTAAGGTCTTAAGGGTTGAGGCTTCCGGTTTTCCTGTGCAAAGTAAAGCTCAGAATACATTATGGCCTCAAAGTCTAAACTGATGGAAAGAAACAAAAAAGGGAATAGAAAGGATATTGTGGTTTGGGGCGAGTCAAGGATGCTGTGTGGACGAATAATGTTCTTGAGGAAGTGACATGGAGTCCACAGAGTCAGGCCAGAAATCCTTACATTACAGAGAGATATTGGTCTCAAACCAAGGTATTGGTAGTGGAGCATAACCCAGGAAAACGCCCCCAGGAGAACCAGGGGCTGGGAGGAAACACATAGATATCACCACAAGGAAGAAAACAGTTGTGCTTCTACATTGCCTGGACACACACAGGTCCATGATATAAAGGCCGCCCAGCAGAAGGAGCCTCCAGGCCAGCTCCCACCTCTTCCCTGAAACCTGCTCCAACCACACACATCCATCATGTGCCACACCTTCTGCTCCACAGGCTGCAAGTCAGCCTGTCCTGGGCTCTTGTGCTTCAAACAACTGTGCTGCACCCCTGCCGCCTGCTGCTTATCCCCCTGCAGCGGGAGCTCCTCTGCCGCCCAGTGTCCTGCACGGCTCTGCTGTGCCGGCCCATGTGTGGTGTGGCCACCTCCTGTCAGTCATCCTGTGGGGCCCCTAGCTGTTGCCCTTGTAGCTGCCAGTCCCCATGCAGCCCCACGACCTGCGGCCAGGCCTCCTCCTGCTGTGTGCCCGTGAGCTGCAAGCCCACTGTGTGTGTGCCCGTGTGTGTGGCCTTCTCCTGCCAGTCCTCCTGCTCCTGCCAGCCCTCCTGCCCCACCCTCCTCTGCAGACCCATCTCTTGTAGCACTCCTGCCTGTTGCTGACCAAACATGTCTCCAAAACAGCTATTCCCAACATGGACAGATCTTCACCTGTATCTCCTTCTGAAATGGGTCTTTGGTTGGCCTCTATGTTCTACACATGGGCACATGGGGCAGATGAAAGCACATTGCTTTCCATTAACTTCCCCCTGAACTCTGGGACAACAAACTCCTCCTGTGGCAGAATGATCTGGATCCCTCTGACCCTACACATCCCATCAGGGAAGTCTTGGCTCCAAGGAGCCCTTCTCTGACCCAGGAGGAAATCAAACCCCTACTTCAGCCAAATAAATCATGCATTCCCTGTGCAACCTGTTCCACTCTTTTATCTTCACGTATTTGAAGTTCTTTCCTCAAAGAGGTACACAAATCTAAGGACAACAACCCCTTCTTAGAGAGCCCTCTTCCCAATGGCTCAGCAGAATATGGGAGGCCCTGGATGGAGGAGAAGCCTGAAATGCCATCCCCACACCCTCTCTTTGAGACTCACATTGTGGATGGAAGAAGGCGGAGAAAAAACCTTCAACACCTGAGGGAGGGGTGGGATACAGAACTGAGTCCAGAATCCTACGTAGTACCTGAGAGGATTGCTACAACAGCGGAGAGGAAGGAAACTCTCCCCTAAGACCCACCACCAATACAAAGCAGAGATTTGCAGTCCAAGGAAAAGGGGCAGGAAGTCTGACAGATCCTCACTCCCACATTCAAAGCACACAGGTCCTGCCTAAGACTGAGCCTGGACCATGAAAATAGAGATCCTTCCTGGCTCACAACACCAGCCAAGCAAACACAGCTTAATAAGCACTGTCAGTCTCCCTTGAGAAAAACATAAAAGTTTGGAGAGACAGGGAACATCTAGCTCAACTGGCATAACACAGTTTATAAAGACAATGTTCTACATTCTACCTTGGTGATAAGTGTCTAGGGTCTTAAAAGCCTGTGAGCGGCCATCTAAGATACTCCACTGGTCTCATCCCTTCGGGAGCAAGGGAGAATGAAGAGAACAGGATACAAGGAAAAGATTAGCCCGAAGGACAAATGGTCCACGGCTACCAAGGCCTCCACCCGACTGAGTCCAGTACAGCTAGATGGTGCCCGGCTACCACCACTGACTGCTCTGACCGGGATCACAACAGAGTGTTCTGCACGGAGCTGGAGAAGGATGTAGAACATAATTCTAACTCACAAAAGAAAGACCAGATTTACTGGCCTAAAGGAGACTGGAGAAACCTCGAGAGTATGGCCCCCAGACACCCTTTTAGCTCAGTGGTGAAGTTATC